AATAATTCTCCTTCTTTTTTATTATTATATTTATTTATTTTCCTCCTCCTCTTTCTCCTTCTTCTTTCCATCCTCCTCCTTCTTCTTCTGCTTTTTCTTCTTCAACTTTTTCTTTTCTTCTTTTTATATCATTTCATTTCTTCTCTTCCTCCTTTTTCTTCTTCTTTCTCCTTATCTTTCTCTCACGCTTCCCCTCCCCCCTACTTTCCCCTATACCTCCTCTCCTCCCCCTTACTTCCTTTTCTCCTTTCTCTCCCTCCTCTCTTTTCTCCCTTACATCCCTCCCCCTTCCTTCTCTACCCCGTCCCCCACCTCTCTACCCTCTCCCCCTCCCCTACCTCTCTCCGTCTCTCCCTCCCCCCCACCTCTCTCCGTCCCTCCCCTCTCCCCTCTCTCTCTCTCCCAACCTCTCTCCGTCCCTCCTCCCCCCTCTCCCCCCACAACCTCTCTCCGTCCCTCCCTTCCCCCTCTCCCCCACCTCTCTTCCCTCCCTTCTCCCCTCTCTCTCTCTCCCCACCTCTCTCCGTCCCTCCCTTTCCCTTCTTCTACCCCCACAACCATTCTCCGACCCCCCCCCCCTCTACCTCTCTCCGTCCCCTTCCCCTTCCCTCCCCCCCCAACCTCTCTCTGTCGCTGTCTTCCTCGCGCTGTTCTTAACGATGCTAAATATAGCACTCGCGTTCCTGGAGGAGTTCCTAGCCCACTTTCTTCTTGTTGTTCTTCTTCCTCTTGTTCTTCTTCTTCCTCTTAGTCTTTTTTTTTTTTTTTTTTTTTTTTTTTGCTTTTTCTGTCTTCTTCATCTTCTCGGTTTTCGTCTCGTTATTCATTATCATTATTTTTTTCTTCCTCTTTTTTGTTCTTCTTCTTCCTCTTATTTTTTTTTTTTTTTTTTTTTTTCTTTTTTTTTTTTTTTGCTTTTCTTTCTTCTTCATCTTTTCGGGTTTTCTTTTTGTTATTATTATCATTATTTTTTCTTCTTCTTCTTCATCTTCTTCCTTTCCTCTTTTCTGTTCCGTTGTTCTATCTTTAGCTTCTTTTTCTTCGTTTTCTTATTTCATTTTTATCTTATTTTCTGTTCTCGGTGTTTATTGTTTTCCAGGTTTCTTGCAGTTTTTCTTTTTTATATTTGCTAAATTTTCAATTCTTTCTTCGTTTTTTTTTCTATCTTTTTTTCTTTTTTTCTTCTTTCTCGGCTTTCTTTTTCTTCTTCTTCTTCTAATTCTTACTCATTTCTTCTTGTTCGTCTTCTTTTTGTTGTTATCCAATTCCTTCTGCATCTTCTTCGTTTTTAATCTTATCATTTCCTTCCGTTTTTTTTTTCTCCGTCAGCAAATTCTTTCGCAAAATATAACAAAAACAAAAAAAAACAAATCTACAAAAAAAGAGATAGAAAAAAATAAATACGAAGAAAAGAGAAGAGAAAAAAATAAAAAGAATAACCAAACAATAAAAAAAAAAGAAAAGAAAAAATCCAATACGATAAATAGAACAAAAATAGAATAATAATAAAAAAATAGAATAATGATAATAAAACAAAAAACAAAAAAGAAAAAATCCAATACGATAAATAGAACAAAAACTTAGAATATTATAATAAATAAAAAAAAATCACTAGAATAATAATAATAATAAATAAATTAAACACTAGAATAATATAATAGATATAAAAAACACCAGGAATAATGACAATAAATAAAAAGAACACTAGAATAATGATAATAAATAAAAAAAACACTAGAACAATTATAATAAATAAAAATAACACTAGAATAATATAATAAATAAAAAAAACACTAGAATAATGATAATAAATAAAAAGAACACTAGAATAATAATAATAAATAAAAAAACACTAGAATAATGATAATAAATAAAAAAACACTAGAATAATGATAATAAATAAAAAGAACACTAGAATAATGATAATAAATATAAAAAAACACCAGAATAATGATAATAAATAAAAAGAAACACTAGGAAAAATGATAACAAATAAAAAAAGACACTAGAATAATGATAATAAATTATAAAGAAACACTAGAAAAAATATATAATAAATAAAAAAGCACTATATAATGATAATGAATTTTAAAAAAAACTCAGAATAATGATAATAAATAAAAAAAATAATGATAATAAATGAAAAAGAACACTAGAAACAATAACAATAAATAAAAAAAAAACGGAACAATAACAACGATCGACTACGTAACCCGGATTCAGCAACGGGGGGGGGCGGGGCGGAGGAGGCCATTACGGACGCCTGTCTTTGGGCACTGGGTCGACTCTGCCCCTTGGTCGAGGAGGGTCAAGGGGGTGTGCCAGACGGTGGAGGATTTGGGAGAGGGGGGTGGAAGGGAAAGGGAGGAGGGGAGAGGGGAGGGTGGAAGGAAGAGGAGGGGAGGAAGAGGTGGAAGGGAGGCAGGGAGGAGGGTGGAAGAGGAAGGGAAGGGTGGAAGGAAAATGAAGGATGGAGGAGCGGGGAGGGAGGAGAGGGTGGAAGGAGGAAAGGAAGCGGGGAAGAGGCGGATGGAAAGGAGGAAGAGGGAAGGGGAGAGGGAAGGTTTAAAGGAGGAGAAGGGAAGGGTGGAAGGGGAGGAAGGGAAGGAGCTAGAGGGAAAAGAGCGGGAAGGAGGGTTGGAAGAGGAAGAGGAAGGGAGGTGGAAGGGAGGAAGAGGAAGGGGGAAGGGGGAGAGAGAGGGAGAGGAGGTGGATGGAAGGGAGAGGGTAGAGGGAGGATGGAGGAGGAAGAGAAGGGGAGAGAGTGAGAGGAGGATGAGGAGGAGGTGGGTGGGAGGGAGGAAGAGGAAGGAGAGGAGGGTGAGAGAGTGAGGAGGAGATGGAGGGAAGGGAGGAAGAGAGGGGGAGGAGGAGGAAGAGACGATGGAAGAGAGGAGAGGAGGGGGGGATGAGATAGAGGAAGGGAGAGGAGGAGGATGAAACGGAGGAAGAGGAGAGGGAGGTGAAGGAGGAAGGTAAGAGGCGGTCAGAAGGGTTAGAGGGTGATGAGGAGGAAGGGAGGAAGAGAGGAAAGGAGAGGAGAAGGTGAAGGAGGGATGAGGTGGATGAATGATGGAAAGGAGGAGGAGGAGGAGGAGGAAGGTGAAGGTGGCAAGGGGAGAAGGGGGAGAGGTTAAAAGGAAAGAAGAGAAATTAGTAAAAAGATAATAATATGAAGACGAGGAGAAAACAAGACAAGGAAAACACGAAAGAAAAAAAAGAATAAAAAAAGGAAGTAGACGAAGAGAACAAAGACTCCTCAAAAAAAAAAAAAAAAAAAAAAAAAAGAGAGAGAGAGAAGAGGATCAGAACTTCAACAAAAAAGATCAAAATTTAAAAAAAGCAAAACAACATTAGCCTTTAAAAATACCCGAAAATACCATAACCCGAACGAAGACTTACACACTTCCTCCTTTCAGAGTGTAATGTGTGTTGGGGATGTCAGAAGCCGCGAGGGGGTTCCGAGTTTAGTCACTAGGTCACGTGTTCCTCAGTCTGGAATTGGGGGGGGGGAGGAGGAGGGGAAGGGTGAGGGGGGAGAGGGGGAGAGAGGGAAGGGATGAGGGGAGAGAGTGAAGGTAGGGGGAGAGAAGGGAGAGGGTGAGGGGGAGGGGGAGAGAGGAGGGGGTGAGGGGGAGAGAAAGGAGAGGGTGAGGGGGAGAGAGGGAAAGGGGTGGGGGGGGAAGGGAGAGGAAGAGGTGAGGGGAGAGAGGGAGAAGTGGAGGGGAGAGGGAGAGAGGAAGGGGTGAGGGGGACAGAGGAAGAGAGGAAGGGGTGAGGGCGGGACAGAGGGAGAGAGGAAGGGGGAGGGAGAGAGGGAAGGTGAGGGGAGAGAGGATGGGTTGAGGAGAGAGAGGAAGGGGTGAGGGGGGAGAGAGGAAGGGGTGAGGGGGAGAGAGGAGAGAGGAAAGGGGTGAGGGGGGGAGAGAGAAGGGTGAGGGGGAGAGAGGAAGGGGGGGGAGAGAGGGAGAGAGAAGGGTGAGGGGGGGAGAGAGGAAGGGGTGAGGCGGGAGAGAGGAAGGGGTGAGGGAGAGAGGAAGAAGGAAGGGGTGAGGCGGGGGAGAGGAGAAGAGGAAGGGTGAGGGGGGAGAGAGGGAGAGAGGAAGGGGTGAGGGGGAGAGAGGGAGAGAGGAAGGGGTGAGGGGGAGAGAGGAAGGGGTGGGGGGGAGAGAGAGAGAGAGGAAGGGGGAGGGGGGAGAGAGGGAGAGAGGAAGGGGTGAGGGGGGAGAGAGAAGGGGTGGGGGAGAGAGAGAGGAAGGGGGTGAGTGAGAGAGGAGGGGGGGTGAGGGGGAGAGGGAGAGGGGAAGGAAGGGGAGGAGAGGAAGGGGTGAGGGGAGAGAGAGGAGGGGGTGAGGGGGAGAGAGGGAGAAATGGAGGGAGAGAGGGAGAGAGGAAGGGTGAGGGGGGAGAGAGGAGTGGTGAGTGGGAGAGAGGAAGGGGATGAGAGGGGGAGAGAGGGGAGAAAAGACGGGAGGAGAGAGGAAGGGGTGAGGAGAATAGGAGGTAGGTAGAGGAGAAGGGGTGAGGGGGAAGGGGGGGGAGGGTGAACCGGTTTAATGCGCCCGGCGAATTAAAATAAGCCTAATTTCCCGCGCTGTAGTGACCATAATGGCGGTATTTGGAAGCGTCGTTCCCGGGTGCGCGAGGCGGGGTCTGCTAAGCGGGGTTCTCTCTGTGTGTCATACGCGAGAGAGGAAACCCACGTAAAAATAATGATTGTAGCTAAGATGAAGAGGAAGAAGAACAAGAAAAAAAAAGAAAGGAAGAAAGAAAGAGAGAGAGAGAGAGAGAAACCCCGCGATCGAGAGACGAAAGCGCTTAACCCTTCCAGTCCGTAAGGGCGAATATCCCACCCGCGCCCCGTTATACCGTGCGACATAATGGCCGCGGGGAGTTGCACCTGTCGCGTCCCCGCCCGCACATAATGGCCACGGCGAGTACCCGGGAGGCCCCCTACACCTCCGCCGGTCTATTTAAAGCGACGCCCAGACCGGCAGGAGCAACAGTATCCGTTGAGCAGTCACTCAGCAACCACCTCGCTCTCCTCCTCCGCTCTTAACGCTTGCAAGCACCCAAGTCCCACTCGAGTTCGAAATGGCCTTCCAGGGTAGGATATCCAGCAAGTTCAGGAGCTCGTGGTGACTTTTTGTGATCTGGAAAGACTTTTTTTGTGTACTGATAACAAGGAAGGACGATTGACGAGATTTGTTTGATAAGGAAAATAGAATTGATAACGTTTTTTTTTTATTTTCGAAGATGGAGATCTTTAACTTTTTGCTTTTTGTTGTTAAATTTCTGTTTTGTGTGCCGATTTTTAGAGATTTCAGTTTGAGCCAAAAGTGTGCAACAAACCCGAGGGAAAATCGGGGATTTGATCGTCTGATTGCACATAATTGGTTAGAAATTCGTTGCTGCAAAAGATTCCAAGCTATTACATTTTTTTTTCTTTCTTTTTAATCCGGCACCGATTTTTGTCTCTTCGCTTTTACTCGTAAAATTCATATTTTCTTCCGCGTAATATAATATTGTAATAATAACGTTATATAATATTAATAACATATTAACGTAATACAATATTGCTCAAGAAAAAAATTGATTGTCTTCGGAGATTTCAACGCTAAAATATAGTTATCCTTCGAGACTGTATACCATTTTCCACAAATTCTTTTCTTTCGCTGATCCATAACTAATTATTTTAATTCAAGCGAGAAATTCCATTAAGACTCAAATGACCGATCAAAATTGTCAATGTTCAGATATTAATTGCCGAAATAAAAGAAAACAAAACAAATTGACCGACGATAATTCATTTAATCTTGTTTCGATCATAAACTCGGCCCCGTTTTCTTTAATCAACTTCCGGCCCGAAATCGCGACTCGTCATCATAGAAAACGGGTCAATCAACACAGTCCTCCACATCCTTTCTATCATGATTTAAACAGCGATTTTCTCACCTCTTCCACTTGTCTCTTTGCAGGAGTATTCTACGCTGTCTTCTTTGCCCTCGTCGCCTCCTCTCTGGCTGCCGAGAAGAAGGAAAAGGCGGCTGAGGAAGACGGTCGTTTCTTCCTCACCGGGACTGGCAACAATTCCAACACCTCGATCACCGTCAGCAGCGATGTCATCTACTTGTTGGCAGTCGTTGCTTTCGGTCTGATCGCCGCTGCCATCGTCGCTGCCATCGTCGGTGTAGGTGTAGGTTCTAGCACTGGCGACTATAGCTACTCAGCTCCCACGTAAGTAGATGATTACTTCCCTCCTTCTCTTCCTTCCTCCTCATTCGTGTTTGGAGGTGGGAGGGAAGGGGGGAGAGCTGAATTCTTGTGTTGGTGTTTATCTTGTGGGTGTTTTTTTCTGAGGGTGGGTCGTTATGGGTGTACCTAGAGAGGGCGTATTCCTGAAGGTGAATCGCTACGGATGTACCCCGTTAGGTGTATTCCTGAAGGTGTACCTCGGAAAGTATATCTCTGAAGGTGTACCCAGGAAGGTGTATTCCTAAAGGCGTACCCCGTTAGGTGTATTCCTGAAGGCGTACCATCCCTCTGCCCTTTCCCCTCCCTCTACCCCAAGTCCCATTGCATGCCTGACCTCCTTTGCCTTCGAAGCCCGATGTTGCAAAGCAGTGAAATACTAGCCTTAGTGCACGTAACATTAGCATTAGCAAGCATGACGAATTTATCAGATCTTTGATTAAAAAATATATATAAATCGTCTCGATTCTACGACCTGGAACAAAGAACGAGCCAGGTCGCCCTCTTTGCCAGAGCTTGTGATGACAATGTGCCGCATGAATGACTTGCAATCAAAGCATGACCTTAAATAGTAGAAGAGAACCGCTTTGTCTGACCTTAAATAGTAGAAGAGAGAACCGCTTTGCCTGACCTTAAATAGTAGAAGAGAACCAGTTTGACGTTCCGACACCCTTTGTTGCCTGAGAAAGCAAGGGTGAGCGTACGAGTGCGTGGGCTGCTACGGTCACCTTGGAGTACGATTGTTATTTGCCGTAATGGGCGGTGTTTGGTCTCTACTTCCGGTTTACGTTCTTGACGCTATTTTTACGAAATTCTTTTTAGAAGGAACACTTGTATGTAAATAATGGTGGTGGGTATTAATGCAATGTTGTATATATTTGTTTATGTGTGTTTGTGTGTATGTGTGTGTGTTTTACAATTATTAACCGTGTGCGTAGTTTAAGCTGATTATACTTACTTGTTAAGTACAATTAACATGTGATATCTGTATATATATTAGACTAAATTGTAAATATGTATATATCCGTTTACTGCGTCAAGAGAAGCAAATTGCTGTGACCTGATTTTCTTAAAGGACTCACGTATGTCAAATCTTGCTCGTCGTTAACTTAAAAGGTGGTCACACACTGCATGCGATCTCTTGCCGCAGGGTCAGAAAGTCTGGGGAGGATTGTATGACTCGCTGAAAAGCTTTTAGACTCTCTCTTTCTCTATCTATATGTCTCTCTCCCTCTCTGTTTCTCTCTGTTTGTCTGTCTGTCTGTCTCTGTGTCTCTGTCTCTCTCTTTCTCTCTCTCTCGTCTCTCTCTCTCTCTCTCTCTCTCTCTCTCTCTCTCTCTCTCTCTCTCTCTCTCTCTTCTCTCTCTCTCTCTCTCTCTCTCTTTGTATATATATTTATCTATTCATATATGTAAATATTTCGATGTCCCCCATTCTTTTTTCTTTATCATTTACTACTGTTTCTACTTTCTTCTATATACACGAATACATTCCTCAACAGATTCATCAGACTCTGTACTGTAAATAATGTAAATATCCTACCCAACTACCTGTGCTCCCGAAGTAGTCATTGTGCACGCGAACTAACCTCTTTTTCTCCTTTTACCTGCGCTCTGTCTACAGCTCCTACGCCGCCTACTCCGCCCCCGCCCCTGCCTACGAGGAGAGCTCCTACGCCGTGCATCGCTCCTTGGAAGACGCTGCCCAAAAGTTCCAGTAGATGGCCTTCGCGTCCGATTAGGAATATTTACCTTGGTCCCCCCTCACCATGGCTAATGCTCCGTTTTCTTTGACGGAGTTTCCCCCTGTAATGTTATTTATTTTTTCCTTTGGATCTTTCTCGTCGGTTCCATCGAAAGGCCGGTCATGTTGGTCTTCTGACTGAAATACGATTACATCAGACACGAGACGACGACGCTTGGCCTGTTTAATTAAAGAAAAAAGATAAAAATATATATAAATTATATATATATTAATGGAGACTTGTGTGTGTTGGTATGATCGCGTAACTCTGACAACACTCGTGACAAGAGCTCAGTCTCTGGTAACATACGTGACAGACCTTAATTTTGACGACTTACAAGAGACACTCTGATGTCCCTTTTGCACTGCCAACTCTGACGTACCTGACTTTAAAAATAATATCTATATAAGGGCCACCCCCCACCATCAACGTAGTTCTTCCCACGACTGACCAATAGACAACAAGCGAGACAATATCGAACGTTTTATGAAATATGAATATACTAAACTATATTTATATATACTGACTCTACTGAACACATCAGCATGACTTCCCCGATGGCTTTTCGCGACTTTCAATGTTGACCCGTTATCCTTGCGAGAAAAAAATGGCCCAAAACACAACATATATACATGTATTTATAACTTATCCAGTCCCCGTGTGTCCCACCCCCTCCTCCCCCTCCCTGGTGCCCCTGGAGGGTTTCATCGTTCGCTCAGGAGGGATTAGAGGTTTCATTACTTCCTTCTGTGCCATAATGGTCCATGTCGACCCGACCTTTGTTGCTCAGTGAACTCGTGGTTTCCAAATCTTCACAGTATCTTGCTTATAAATCTTGCAATCCCTTTAAAATCTACAGTATCTTGCCTTTCAATCTTACAATCCCTTTAAAATCTACAGTATCTTGCCTTTCAATCTTACAATCCCTTTAAATTCTTCAGTATCTTGCCTTTGAATCTTACAATCCCTTTAAAATCTTCACAATGTCTTACATCTACATCTTGCAATCCCTTTAAAATCTTTCACAATGTCTTACCTTTGAATCTTACAATCCCTTTCAAATCTCCAAAGTGTCTTGCGATCTTCCAGTAACTTGAAGATAATGGCATCACACTTTTTTTTTTAATCCCAAAGAACGTAGGATTTTGGTCCCCGAGTTCGCCTCCGCTGCTGGTCGGTGGAGGTCAGTGAGTCCTTTTATTTTAGCATTTGTTCGCATCTCCATTGTCACTTGCACATTTTTCTTACTGTTTTGCGCCAGTATCACGGTATTTTAGACCCAATTGTTGTTTTTTTTGTTATTTATTTAAATTATTGTTTTATATATGAGTGATTGTAAATAAAATGTCTAACAGGCAATTATGTGTTTTATCCTTTTTTTTCCTTTGTAAGTTTGGAGTAAGAAATAGCGTATGATGTTTGAAAATGAAAATCAGCATTAAAGATATCTCAAGGAATATATACTTTCAATAATGAATATGTAATCTGTCTACATACAACACACACACACACACACACCACACACACACACACACACACACACACACACACACACACACACACACACACATATATATATATATATATATATATATATATATATATATATATATATATATATATATATATATATATATAAATATATATACATATATACATACACACACACACACACACACACACACACACACACACACACACACACACACACACATATATATATATATATATATATATATATATATATATATATATATATATATATATATATATATATCTGTCTATCTGTGATATGAAACATACTTGGTCTTTGAATACATTTAAAATGTTCAAAATACAGGTATGACTCAAAGTTCCTCATTTAATTAATTTTTAAGATCCATAGTATACGTAAAGTAGATAAATAATTCCATGAAAAGTACTCTATAACTTATCATTATATTTTGGACACGCATATTACTTGTTATTGAATGTAAATATATAAAAATAACAGGCACATATTAT